AACTGGTTGATTAGTTGAATTAGTCTTTTTGTGGAGTTTTGGGGGTTCTCTATGTATATTATATCATCTGCAAATAGTGATAGGTTAACTTCTCTTTTCCTATTTGGATTCCTTGTGTGTCTTTCTTTTGTCTTATTGCTCTGGCAAGGACTTTGAGTGTTATATTGAAAAGCAGTGGTGAGAGTGGACATCCTTGTCTTGTCCCAGATCTTAATGGAAATGCTTTCAGCTTTTTGTCACTGAGAATGATACTGGCTATAGGCTTGTCATATATGGCCTTTATGATGTTGAGGTATGTTCCTTGTATCCCAAGAATTTCAAGGGCCTTTATCATAAATGGGTGTTGTACTTTGTCAAAGGCTTTCTCAGCATCTATTGATATTATCATATGGTTTTTATATTATTGTTGATGTGTTGGATAACATTGATTGATTTTCAGATGTTGAACCATCCTTGTGTCCCTGGAATAAATCCTACTGGTCGTGGTGAATTATCTTATGGATACATTGCTGGATTCTGATAGCTAAAATTTTATTGAGGATTTTCGAATCCATGTTCATTAGAGAAATTGGCCTGTAGTTTTCTTTTTTGTGTTGTCCTTTTTCGGTTTTGGTATTAGTGTAATGTTGGCTTCATGGAATGTGTTTGGTATTATCCCTTCCTTCTCAATTTTTTGGAAGAGTTTGTGAAGGATAGGCACTAATTCATTTCTGAATGTTTGGTAGAATTCATTTGTAAATCCATCAAGTCCTGGGCTTTTGTTTTTGGGGAGGTTTTTGATTACCATTTCAGTTTCGCTGCTTGTAATTGGTCTATTTAGGTGTTCTGTTTCCTCTTTATCTAGCTTTGGATGATTGTAGAGTTGTAGGAATTTGTCCGTGTCTTTGTTTGCATATAAATGTTCATAGTAGTTTCTGATTATTCTTTTGATTTCTGCTGTGTCTGTTGTGATTTCGCCTCTTTCATTTGTGATCCTATTTATTTGTGCTTTCTCCCTTTTTTCCTTTGTGACCCTGGCTAGGGGTTTGTCTATTTTATTTATTTTTCGAAGAACCAGCTTTTGGTTTCATTGATCTTTTGGATTGTTTTTTTAGTTTCGATTTCATTTATTTCTGCTTTGATTTTCTTTATTTCTTCTGCTGGTTTTGGGTTTTTTTTGTTATTCTTTTTCTAGTTCTTTGAACTTTGAGATTAGGTTGTTTCTCTGAGATCTTTCTTGTTTCTTGATGTGAGCCTCTATTGCTATATATTTCCCTCTTATTACCACTTTTGCTGCATCCCATATATTTAGGAAATTGGTGTCCTCCTTGTCATTCAACTCAAGGAGTTTTTTTTTTAATTTCTTCTTTGATCTCCTCATTAGTCCGCTGGTCTTCCAGTAGTGTGGGTTTCAATCTTCATGAGGTAGGAGAGTTCCTTGCCTTCTTTTTACGGTTTATTTCTAGTTTGATGCTTTCATGGTCAGAGAAGATGGTTGGTATGATTTCAATCTTGTTGTATCTGTTGATGTTTGTCTTGTGTCCCAGTAGGTGATCAATCCTGGAGAATGATCCGTGTGCACTTGAGAAAAATGTGTACTCACATTTTTTGGGGTTTAGTGTTCTATAGATGTCTGTTAAGCCCATGAGGTCTAGATCCTTATTTAGAGCTTTAATGTCCTTACTTATTTTTTGTCTCATTGATCTATCCATTGTTGATAGTGTTGTTTTGAAGTCTCCTACTACATATGTGTTTTCTCTGATGTCTGTTTTCAGAGATGATAATAGTTGTCTGATTATATTTTGGTGCTCCTTCATTTGGTGAGTATATGTTAATGAGTGTTATTTCTTCTTGAAGTATTGTCCCCTTGATCATAATTTATTGACCGTTGGGGTCTCTTTTTACCTTTTTGAGTTTGAAATTTGTTTTATCTGATATAAATATAGCTGTTCCTGCCTTCTTTTTTGGTCCATTTGCTTGTGGGATTGTTTTCCATCCTTTAACTTTGAGTCTGTTTTTGTCTTTTGTAGTTAAATGTGTTTCCTGGAGACAGTAAAAGGTTGGGTTTTGTTTCTTAATCCAGCCTGTGACTCTGTGTCTTTTTATTGAAGAGTTTAGTCCATTTACATTTAGAGTTAATATTGATATGTTAGCATCTGTATTTGCCATTGTGTTTGTCTTTCCTCTGATTTTATTTATTTATTCCTTTAGTAACTTTTTTTTTTTTTTGGCCTTCTTTCGTTGTTATTCATCCCTCTGTTGGCTCTGGCTTTAGGAGTCCTTGTAGTATTTTTTGGAGTGGGGGTTTAGTCATAATGAAATTCCAGATTTTCTGTTTGTCGGGAAGGTCCTTATTCTTTACTTCATAGAGGAAGGAAAGCTTTGCAGGATAGAGTATTCTTGGTTGGCATTTTTTTTCATGGAGTCTGTGGACAATGTCACTCCACTCTCTCCTTGCCTGTAGTGTTTCTTCAGAGAAGTCTGATGTCAGTCTGATTGGCTTTCCTTTGAATGTTATCTGTTTCTTCCCTCTTGTCAGCTTCATTATTTTTTCCTTGTCTTGCATTCTTGGGAGCTTTACTATTATGTGTCTTGCTGTATTTTTCCTTTTGTCATGGAAGTTTGGTGTTCTTCTTGCTTCTTGTATGTCTATTTTCAGCTCCTTCACATTTAGGAAGTTCTCTTCAATTATTTCCTTCAATATTTTCTCTGTTCCTACGTCTCTCTCCTCTCCTTCTGGGATTCCTATAACTCTTATGTTTCCTTTCCTCATGGAGTCAGACAGTTACCGAAGTCTTTTTTTGGTCTTTTTCCTTTGTACTTCTCTTTCCTTTTCTGTTTTGGTTCTTTTTATTTCTTTGTCTTCAAGAATCCTTATTTGTTCTTCCATTTCATCTATTCTGCTTTCACTGCTTTTCCCAGAGTTCTTTAGCTCCTCCATTAATTCTTTGATCTCCTGCATTTCTTTTACTTCCCTCTTTAGGGACTCAATTTTATTCTTCGGATCATTGATTATGTTTCCTATATCATTGTTGACTTCCTTCAGTTTTTTAATCATGGCAATTTTAAATTCTCTTTCTGGAAGGCTCAGAAGTTCTTCCAAGTTACTCTCATTGCAATCTGGTGGGTGGTTTTCTTTGGGTGGTGTGTCTTTTTCCTGAGGAGTTGCTAGGTTGCATGTAGTTTTTCTTCTCCCTGCTGCCTGTTTTCTAATTTGCCCTATGTGTTGGGACACTGTGTCACTGGTACTGGCCGGCATCTTTTTGGTGTACTCTTTCTGGGATTTCGGAAACTCGTGGTTCAAACTAGTCAAATACTGTTATGCCAGAAGTCCAGTGAGGCAGTGATACTTCGAGTATGTTAGTGGTCGCTGTCACAGAATATCTTCTCCTTCTGTGTTTAATTCCAAAGGTGTGTCTTCAAGCCCCACAGACTTCCCTGGAGGTGGGGCTGCTGGATTACACTCTGGGCTCCACTCCCTGCCAGGGGGGACAAGGCTTGTGGGGGCCTTCATCTTACCTCTGGCTCTGAGGGGAGCCTTAAGCCATTTTCAAGCAGTCTTTATTGAAGAAAGGTCCTTGTTCTAAGATGGTGATTCGGAGACACACTCTCCTGTGCACCCAGTCTGCCCTGGCCGTGGGTGCCTGCTCCCCCACTGGGCTCGGACTGCTGGCCAGTAGGGGACTGGCATGGGGGAACTTCCCAGCTCACCTCTGGCTCCATGGGGAGCCTTCTGCCGGTTTCGATCAGTCTTTATTGAAGAAAGGTCCCTCTTCTAAGATGGTGAGTAGGAGACACTTGCCTGTTGATTTTGATTTTGATTATAATTAGTCTTTTTCCTGATCCTTTATTTAGGTTTTCTAAATCCCTGCTATGAGTGAGACCATCTGGTATTTTTCTTTTTCATTCTGGCTTATTTCACTGAGCATGATCCCTTCCAGCTCCATCCATGTTGCTGCAAATGGCATGAGTTTATCTTTTTCGGTTACTGGGTAATATTCCATTGTGTATATGTACCACATCTTCTTGATCTAATCATCTGTTTTAGGGCATTTGGGTTGTTTCCATAGCTTACCTATTGTAAATAGTGCTGCAATAAACATAGGGGTGC